CGTCGTGTCTGCGCGCGTAGTTGTGTCGTCGCGCGTCGTATTTGTCGCCGTCGTTTCTCCGCTGTTCGCGCCGTCGTTGCAGGGCTGCTGCGCGGCCGACAGCCCGAGCAATCTCGGGTTTCGCGTCGCGCGCGCGGCGGACGGGCCGTTCATCATCAGCGAAGCTCGCGGATGGATCCGTGGCGCGGGTAATCGCGTTGACCGCGCGCCCCATTTGGGCCGTCGCGTTTTTCTTCAGGGAAGTTATGTGGTTGCCCACAGCGATGACCCAAGGCTCGTCCGCCACGCCGTCGCGGCCGTCGTCGGCCCGTCGGGATTCACCATTCTGGGCGGCGCCGTGCGCTCGCAGTATGCGGGCCAGCCGCGTTGGCGCGCGCGCCCAGGAGACGCGCTGTCGGCTGCTTGCGCGCGGTGGCGGGCGAGGAAGCAGTGACAGCCGACTCCTCTGCATGGTGGAACAGCGCTGCGCGGAGTGCAGTTTAGATTGCAGCGGCATCGCATATCATGAGGGCACTGGTAATTCGGGAAGCACGCGTTTTCCAGGCGCTGCGCGAACGCGCGATCGAGGCCGTCCATGAACGGGGCGGGGCGGCCACTAGTAAAACATGTGCCATGTCGTGTGACGCACTTGCGAAAGACATGTTGTCGCTGCCGCGACATCATGCGTTCGTAGCCAGCCTTGGATCATTTCGACACCCAGCAATTCTTTGCCCCTCGTTTTGCCCGCGCCGAACGCCGCGCCCCGCGGCGGCGAAGCATCCGGCGCGGACAAGCACAAAAGGGCCCACCGCGTGGAGAGGGCGATTCTGGAGAGGAAGCCCGCTAGCTCGACCTTCTCATCGAAGAAACGGCCTGCGCGTGCCTCTCTCCCTTCCAAGCAGCTATCTGGCACGCGCAGAGCATCGCTGACTAATAAGGGCAAGATCAACAATAGCTCGACGATGAGGAAGGGCAAAGCGAAGCCGACCGAGGGGGCGCCTGGCCCGTCATACATCCCTGCGATGCACAAGCAGGCTGATCGACCTCGCGTTGCTGAGCTCAGGGTTTCCCGGAGGATCGCCCTGAGCGACCTGGCGCGCATCGGCCCCGAACTCCTAGCGCGTATCATGATGGATGTGGGTGCGCTTCCAGACCCGTGGGGCGAATGCTCAGCGTGCCGATGCGGCGCCATGCAGTTGCAGACTCGGAGCTGCCAGTTGGGCAATGATGTCCAGGTGGCAGGCTTTAGCATCCCACAGATGGACCATCCCATGTGGCGCAGTCTCAATTGGGAGTGCCAGCGGCGCGGGTCCAACCTCGACCCGAAGGGCCCCCTGAAGGAATTGTTCAACAAGGGCTCAGTGAGCAGCGCCCGCAATCTCTTCGCCATCGCCCACGCAGCAACTCAGCGCGCCTCGGGCTACGAGTCGTCGGACGAACTGGCGGCAGCCAAGAACGCGGCTCAGCGAATTGCCAGCGCGCTGCGAGCCATTTGCGCTCGCGTTGCCCAGTCTGAGCAGGATGAATGTAAATGGCTTCGCGGATGCCTCGTGGAGGCCGACAAGGTGTCAATGCGCGCGAGTCGCGCGCCGCGCGCGTCGAACTGCTTCGAGAAGACGTGCGGCGAGCACACTCTTGCGCGATATCGTTTGTTGCGTCGCCGGCCTTTGTGCGTTATGCCCAGGGGGCAGTGGCACTTGGCGATGTTTTTTTGGCTGCGTGCTGCTGGAGGGAGCGGCGTATCGCTGAGCGGGCATGAGTGCGATGAGATCCTCTCGTGCGTTCTCGTCCCTGGGTACTTCGCCCTTCCAACGGACGGCGTAGGGGCATGCCAATCCGTGGCCCCGAAAAATCATGCATCGCGCAGCGACGAGAGTAAGGGCCCTCCCCGCTTCAGCGCAAACCGTTTTCTGCTCGCAATGAGCACCTGAACTTGTCGCGCGGCATTGCGCCCCACGATGCGGACCAGTGGGCCGTTGTCGACCGTGCGCGCGTGGTGCGTCCAAATGGGCGCCCCGAGAATGTCCTTTTAAAAAGACACCCAGTGCTGCGACGGCCTACGGCCTGAGATGCGCGGCGGCATCCCAGACAACGCTCACACTTCCGATTGGGAGTGCTGTCGTTCATACCTGTGGATGGACGAGGAAGAAAAAGAGCAGCAAGGAGAGGAGGAGGAAGAATCGGAAGCCTGGGCAACTGGTGGGTCCCCTGCTCGGGAAAACGAGGGTTCGTCTCGCATGTCTTGCGAGTTCGGTAGCTGCTGGCGGCGCTATCGGCGCAGCAGGGGGCAGCCTACGGGCCCCTTGAATTGGTGAAGCCCTATGGGCCCGCTGCAGCTCGGTGCCGAGCCCCTTTTTTTCAGACGAAAGCGTTATGGAGCTGTGGAAGCTTATAACACTGTGGCCCATCACCTCCGCTCGGGGTAGTATACCAAACAAGCTGTCCTTGCTCGAAAAAACCTTTCGGGTCCTAAGCCTCTCGCTGGACCGTCAACTGTCGATCTACTGCTCGTGCAAAACATTGAGCAGAAGCGGCTCTCGCCGTGCTCTCGCTGCAACAGCCCCGTGGAATATTCAGAGGGCAAGCTAGGTGTGCAAGCGTCATATCCGAATTCCTTCTCTCTCCCATCCCTTACAACTGCGTAGGTATTTCCTCTCTCTCTCTCTCTCTCTTTTGTTTCTCTCTTTTTTTTTCTCTCTCTCTCTCTCTCTCTCTCTCTCTCTCCGCACAAACAAATTTCGAACACGGCAGCGATCCCGAGAGAGTACGCGATGCATGGTACAGCACGACATAGCATGGCATAGAAGAGCACGGCCAAAGCCGACTAAAGTTGGCGCTGGCTACCGAAGACAACAAACTGATATTGGCTCCTTCGACGTCTGAGTCAGCAAGGTTTCCGGCTCATAAGAATGGCATATAATGGCTTCTCCAAGGTGCGTTACGATCTTCCTGAGGCTGTCCACGCAACTTGGTTTGTAGCGCTCCAGTCGGGTCCAACGTTGGCTTGGGATGCGAGGAAACCTCACGGACGCCACATGACCTTGCTAGATGTCTTAGAGCGTTCGAGGTAGCCGAGAGTGAGGAAGTCCAAGTCTATAGAAATATTATGCCTTAAAGGCGTCTGGTCCCACGATCTCCACATTCTCGTGTGGAAGACGGTGCAGCTGGGCTGGTCGGTGGCAGTTGGGTGGTCGAATATGCAATGCAGGCGGCTTTGCGACAGACTGCACGGATCCACTTTCGGACGTCTGGACGGAGCCAGCCGCAATCCCGAAAGGCTGCCTTTCGTGCCTCCCGGAGCTCCTCGGCGCCTGACTGGAGAATCAGTGGTTGAGACATACCTGCCGTCACTGGCGCGTGTGTCCTCATGGCAGCGCGGTTCCTGTGCGTTGCGATCAGCACTGCCGCTGAGCCACTCCCACTCGCTGAGCTCGGCGGCGCGAACGGGGGGAAGGCACAGGGGGTCGCTCTCCTCCGAAGGCGGCGGGGCTTATCAGAAGCCCTGCCGCCCCCTGGGAGGCCGTCTATGGCTTCGGAGGAAGCGTAGCAGGACTCTGGGCAGGCGGGATGGCTTCTAAGAAGCCCCGCAACCTTCTGTGAAGGCCGGCCCCTCCGCCTTCCGCCCCGGGCGCGCCACCGCCAAGCTTCTCTCAGAGACCCGCTGCGGTCCGACGCGGCGGTGCCGGGATGCTCTCTATCATGCTGTGGCGGCTGCTAGCCCTCAGCGCGCCACCGCTCTGCATTGGACGTGTTCTGCCTGGCACCGTCGCACAGTGCCTCGTGATGCTTCGCTTCGTCGCACAGTGCCTCGCGATCGGTAGCGATCTTGTTTTCAACACGAGCGCAATCTCGGGGATGGGCGCGTGGTACTCAACTAACCCACTTTTCCTCCTCCTCCTCCTCCTCCTCCTCCTCCTCCTCCTCCTCCTCCTCCTCCTCCTCCTCTTCCTCCACCTCTATGTGATCCTCATCGCGTGCATCACCTGCGACTGCTCCACAAAGCTGGTGGCTAGCTGCAACACAGGTACACGCTTGCAGGGGCGAGCGAACTGAGGCTTCCTGAAGATGCTCGAGCAAAGAGTGCGCAAACAAGCGATCATGACGCTGACATCGTATCCCCAGGCGAATAGCCCCCGCACGCAAGCACGAGACACACCTCGTGTGCAGTGGAGACGCTACCCAAGGGGTACCAGGAGGCCGGAAACACACGTGGCCGGATTCAGCTGTGGAGCGTCCGAAGGCCGCGCGCAGGATACACGTGCGGAAAAATTAGGTCAACGCGGCCCCACAGCAGGCACCTCGAACAAGAACTCCGCTTGCCAGCAGGTGCCCCGCGGAAGCGGCCTATCACCCGATGGCCCTGAGGCCGCACGGAGGCTCTGGAACCACTCTGGAACCTCAGCCTATGGACGGATCATCTGCGCCACGGCTGCTCATGGCACGACTTCTGACCGTATGTGTATGCTGCAGCGGGGCCGAGCGCTGGCAAGACGTGCGGCCACATGCGTGTCCGACTCTCGCCCAGGCCTGCCACGTCATCTGGCGGGCTCTGGAAAACCCGAGCGCACAAACACTGCGATCTATCGGGGAAACAGCTTGTACTTCCGCCTGCTTCTTCTGGCTTCTGTCGGCCTCCCGCCGGCGGAGCCGCCCTCGATTTACTTCTGCCACCTTCCGCCGAAGATGTGTCAGCTGAGGCCATGTCTGAAGCGCCTCACACCTATATCCATCTCTCGCCCAGGCCGGCCACGTCATGTGAGCGACGGAAACAAGCGGGTCTCACGCGAGATGTCAGACCGACCTTACGCGGTGGCTTACGCTGGCCGCCAGCGTGGCACGCTACGTTCGACAAGAAGGCGCTTACGCGTGCCCTTGTGCCAGCAGCTTGCGCGCCAATGTCGGTGAAAACGACCCCAATTTTGCTCGTCGCTCACGTGCGTATCCAGCTCTCGCGCCAAGGCCGGCCACGTCCTGTGGCGACCGCGCGATGAAGCATCAACTTGCGCAGGAAGACGAGCGGCCTCGAGGCTCCAGCCCGACGCCGCCACGAGCTCGACTGCAGCCTGGGTGTTCTGCCCATTCCCGACGTCCTCCCCCTCCTCCCCCGCTCATGCTCCTTATGAATAAATGCTTCCTGTCGCACCCAGTCGGAAGGGCGGGTTGGGCGTTTCGCCTGAGACCTCCTCGCCATTCACGCGGCTGTAATGCTGGCAACAGTTTCACAAATGGAGGGCGCGTCGTTTCCAAAATGTGGCTCTCGCATTAATTCCGCGCACACTCAGCGTCAAAGAATGAAAGAATGTGACGGATTGAGGGCGGGTGGATTTTTAATGAGGCTCTCGCCTTAGCGCCGCGCACACTCATTGTAAACAGGTGAACGAACTTCACGGATTGAGGACGGGTTGTTTTCGAGATGTGGCTGTCGCCGTAGCGCCGCATACATTAATTCTGAGTTTGTGCCATCACTCCCGGCACACTCTTGTGAAACCGATTGCGCCGGAAAAACAACGACATACACCGAGTCTTCAAGAGTAACCACCTCTTGGAAAAACAACGACATCTCGGTTCAACCGGTAAACCCCAGCTTACGAAATTTTGACAACGGCCGAAACTCGATTGACTGACCGCACGGTCTATTTCGACCAAAAGCTCAAAACAATAAACAAACCGAACAGGTAAAATCCACCAGCGCGGTACGCTACATTGGAGCCCAGGGCAGCCCTCGCGCGAATGTCGGCGCAGACGACCCCGTTTTGTTCTGCGTCGCGCGCCTCCCATCATCGCGTCTTCGAACAAACAAGACGCAAGGTTTTCAGCTGTTTGCGGCATCTGGGGCCCTCGCTGGGATCCCAGGACCGTCAACAAAACAACTCAGGATGACAATCCTGTCCCAAGGAAGTGGTCTGGACCTCCTGGGCCCATCTCTTCGGACGCCCGAAATGAATACGGACAGAAATGGGCACGATCTCCCAATAGCAAATGTTTTCCGAAATCGACAGCGGCCGCTGTTGGGCAGGCGGCCTTCTGTCTCAAATGGACAATGGCCGCGGCGACGCCAACAGCGAACTCGATGCAGAATGAACAGAAACTGCTGCTGGTCATTGTACCCATTCTTTCCGTACCCATGTCGTTCGCTCCGAACCTCGGGGCATTGTCACCCGACTTCCCGAGAAAATGCTATTTTCAATCTGGACGTTTTCCCCCAATTTCGGCGGTCTCGGCGACCCGCTTTTTTCGACCCTGAGGCCACCAGCAACGGACCTGGGGCGCAAGACTGCCCCTTGGGGAAGTGGTCGAGACTTCCGGAGCCGCGCAATGACAAAAATCACATCGCTGGATGCCTGGGCATCCCTTCTCCCACTCGTGGGCCTTCTCCCCGCTTTCGCCCCCTCCCTCCTCCACATCCGACCTCGTCGTCCCCTCCCCCCATCCCTTCTCCATCGTCCCTCCTTGCTCGTCGTCGTCGTCGTCCTCCTCCTCCTTCTCCTCCTCCTCCTCCTCCTCCTCCTCCTCCTACTCCTCCTCCTCCTCTTCGCACTCAGGCTCTCGGAAGTGTAACGTGCAATGGCCCCACCTATGAAATCCGACGTTGCGCGCAAAACATGCAAAATCGTCAAAGGTCACGACTGGAGCCCTGAACCCAATCCCTCTGCGGCATTTCTCGAGCCGGATCGATCTGCAACGGTCCTGGGCGAAAGCGCCTGGCGTGAAAAAAACGCAGCGCCCAGGTCTCGGGGAAGGAGCTCGGAAGTCTGACGTGAGATGGCCCCACAGCCCGCTCGGTGCTCCAGTGCGCCTGGCGAGTCGGGGGCGTCCAAGATGGGGGCGGCCAAGAGGGGGGGACCATGGCTCGAGGCATGCGCGCGGACGAGGGGGGCACCACGGAACGCACTGAAAGAAGAAGAAGAAGAAGAAGATGAAAAAGAAGAAGAAGAAGAAGAAGGAGAAGAAGGTGCCATGAGATCCAAGGAGATATCATGGCCCTGGCCATGATATCTACGCCCCCCTCGTCACCCCCCCTCTTGGCCGCCCTCGGGAGATGTCCGGCTGCGAGACCGCACCAACCGCTGAGGTCAGGGCATCTACGATCTCGCGCTCGAGCGCGGGCGGCAGCAGGAACCAGCGCCCGTTGTGCTCTGCGTAAGGCCCGTCCTGCGGGAGCACAGGTGCCGCCCGCGAGACTACAAGGGGGAGGTCACCCAACATCGCGCATAGCGGCGTTGGGTGAAAGGGGGATGCGCTCATGAGGGGGTGGGCCCAGGAGGGGGATCGATTTTCGATGTTTTCGGGCTTTCTGTTGGTTCTTGATCCCTTTCCAGCCTCAAGATGCTTTCCAACAGCTGCGCCGCGCAGAGAGCGTTCGGGGGGTGCGCAGGTCGTTTCGGCACGCATCCTTGCATGTGGGTCGCGATTCACGCGCACGTCTTGCATGCCATTGCCGAGGAGTTCCTGCATTCCGAGCAGAAAAGGCAGCCCGAAGCCGAACAACAAAACATAATGCCATGGGTCTCGGCTTTGGGTCCCCGCCTCTTCCTGCTGCTCCTGCTGCTCCTGCTGCTCCTCCTCCTCCTCCTCCTCCTCCTCCTCCTCCTCCTCCTCCTCCTCCTCCTCCTCCTCCTTACCTGGAACCGGCTCATAGAGTGTGTTGTTTCGTAGTGGTTCCAATTTTCCTGAAGTTTGAATTATGGAAAGCGTGGAACCACAACAAAGAATTCTACCCTTCCCAGGGTCCCGAACAGTCGTCTGGCCATGGGTTTCCGACAATTCAGAATTATGGGGAACCCATAGCCGGACGACTGCCAGTCAACACGTATATCCCAAACCCTCGATACCCGCCCTCTTCGTCTTCGATCATACCCCCTTGGGGGTATATCTTCCTCGCCTGCAACGTGTATTTCGTACAGCCCCTGAAGCAGGGGAAGAAAGGACGGATGGAAAGAAAGGACAAGGGGGAAAGAGGAGGAGGGAACACGAGAGAGAGAGAGAGAGAGAAAAACAAAAAAAGAGTAGCAGGAGGGGGGGGCTAGGAGAAGAAAGCACGTGGCAGAACCAGACGGGCAGATCGGGCGGGTAGACCCGAGCGGGCGGATCGGGAAGGCGAGTCCAGGCGGCCAGGTCCAGCAGGCGGGTTGCTGAAGCGTGCGTCCTGCATGAATCGCGAAGATGTCTCGAGCGATAGCGCGATTCCCAAATCAATCGCGAGGACGTCCACATCGAGAGCGTGATTCCTGAATGTCGAGGGCAGGGCGTCTGAATAAATTGCGCGAAAGCGCGATTTGGGAATGACTTGTGAGGTATCAGGCGGGAGCCGGTGTAGTTGTAAACCGGGGGCCAACAACATAATTCTGAGACGCCGAACTTTCCTTTGTAAAAAAACGAAATGAGAACCCTGGGAAAACCTCTTTCACTGAAAAACACAAAGGTGCCCCGGAGAGGCGGATCAACAATACTTATTCTCCATTCGTGAGAGTTCGACAAAAACTGCAGCAGCAACAACAACAACCACGCTCTGGCACAATGCTTCCTCACGATATACTCCAAGATTCCCTAGCCAAGGAGGGCCCGAACCTCAGGAAGGGCGCTCTCGCCTGAGACTTCCAGTAAATTTAACATCACGTGGGGGTCATTCAAAGCATGACTGCTGCCACTTGCGGATGCCCGAACCGCCGTTTCGCTTGAGACTTTCTCGCAATCCAGCAGCACTGGGGAATCCATCAGAACGGTCTTGCCGCTACCTGCGGAAGCCCCAGGAGGTCCCAGGACGCTCCAGGGAGACGCTCAAGGAGCGTTTTTCAACCTTCGCGCCCACAGGAGGTCCTAGGAGGCATTTTCTGTATTGAGACATGTGTTTGGGGAGCGTTTGTCTGCCCCTTCCGCTGCCAAGAAGCCCCAGGACACCCTTGTCTGCATTGGAATATGTGTTCGGGGAATATGTGTTGGCCCTCCCGCCACCAGGAAGCCACAGGAGACCCCAGGGAACACTTTTCTGTGTTGGAATCTGTGTTCGGGGAGCGCTGTTCAACCTCCCCCCGTTCCCAGGAGGCCCCGGATGGCACCAAAAGGTCCCAGGAAACACTTTCCTGTATTGGGATATGCGTTCGGGGAGTGCTGCTCGGCCCTCCGCAGGCTTCGCCCACCAAGGCTTCACCACTCCTCTCCTGGGGCTCGGATCCTGTGCTTTACGCATGTTACTGTCTATTGCCCCTCGACTGGGGCTCGAATCCTTGGCGTGTTCACGTATATTCCTATCATTATGCAACTCGACTGGGGCATTCCCAGCGTTTGGTAATATTCAGATCGCTTGTACCCTTCTGGGGCTCGAATTCTTCGTGCTTCGAACCCTCACCGCCTCCCAAAACTCACACTGCTTTGATTCATGTATCTTGCGAACAGAAAGTGGGAAAATACCATGGGAGAGGTGTTGGCTCGACCTCCTCGGGCGGGATATCTGGGTGTGGGAATATCGCCCCTCTTTTCCCGAGTTGCCCCAGGAGGGGGGGCGTCATGATGGATGCCTGTGGCATGTAAAAGCATTGCGTATGAGGGTGAACTGTTTGTTGTTTTTGCTGGTGCATGTTGGGTTTGGTCTGGCCATTGTTTCTCTTCCTCCTCCTCCTCCTCCTTCTCCTCCTCCTCCCATTATTCCACCTCGTTTTCATTATCCTCCTCCTCCCCCTCCCCTCATCACCATCATATCATCGATTATCCCACCTCCGCCTCATCATCATCAATCCTCGTCTTTTCTTCCTCCTCCATCATCGTTGTCGTCGTCCTCCTCTTGCTCCTCCTTATCCTGGCCCCGTTCCCATCGCCGGCCCTTAGCCCTGTCGGCCCTGGGAAGGTGATAATCAAAACGAAACCATGGATCCTGCAGCGCCTTCTTCAGCTGGGATGGCGCCGCGGCCACCTGAACGCGAGAAAAAGCAGGTGGATGAGAAAGATGGGACATGATGACGAGGAGGTGTGGGAGGAAAAGGATGACGCGGAGAAAGACGAGGAGGAGCAGGAGGAGGACCACGATAGGAAGCAAAAGGATGAGGAGGAGGAGGAGGAGAAGGAGCAAGAGGAGTATGCAGACGAGAAGGATGAAGCGGGAGGTGAAGGAGAAGGAGGAAAAACGACACTGGCCAAAAGAAAAAAACAAGGAGCGCCGCAAGGGAAGGCAAGCCTCCGTCCCGCCCGCCCATGGGAGAGCCTAGGCATAGTTACACTCAGACCGACACAAAGCACGCATCGCAGTCTGCCAATGTGGCAGGATGGTAAAACTATCCCACACAGTCTAGGCACTGCAATCATCTTTCTGGCATCTGGCCACGTACAGCAAAGGGGTGCGATGCGATACGACCACCGTTGCGGACTGTGTCCGGTGCTAGCTCGCAACAGGTAGGTGAGGCCGTGGCCTCGAGAATCTGGCTTGTTTGAAGACATGCAATTCGAGACACCTAAAAGCTAGGAGGAATGGAGGCGGAAGAAGAGGAAGTCCTTGGTGTCGGTGTCGGCGCGGGCTGGGCATGTCGTCTCGACTTTCTCTGGGCGTTCACTTTACGAGTTTTGGTCCTGGACGTTTGCTGGTGCGAGGTCGGTGTAGTGATGCTCGAGCGCCGTCCATGTTTCGGTATCTTAGACTGTTTGAATCCATGTGATGTCGTTTGGTTGTCCTCTCGCTTGGGTATGTGTGGATGGTCGGTGGGGGTCTGGTTTGTGTTGGCGTAAATAGGCGTTGGTTTCGTTGTCGCAGCGCTTGCGTATGGCACTGGGTTGCCTCTGTCCCTGCTGGCGTCGGTTGAGGTCTGGCTGCCAGCGTAGCACTCGCCCTGTCCACCTTGTTCGGTCGCAGTTTGCGACTCTCGAAGACGTGCGCCATACTTTTCGCTTCTGTACCGCCGCCCCAATTGTCGATGCGGTGAAGCTTCATAAAGTGCTCTGCTCGTCGTGTCACTTTCTGAATGCGTCCGGCCCAAGGTTTCAACGGGTCTGCAATGTCCTGTCTGCGCCGCTCTCGCTGTGCATGTCGGGCGTGGCCGGTGTTTCGCGCTTAACTATCGCGCTAAAAAGGGGGAGGAGGAGGAGGAGGAGGAGGAGGAGGAGGAGGAGGAGGAGGGAGGAGGAAGGAGAAGGAGGAGGAGGAGGAGGAGGAGGAGGAGGACAACGAGAAGAAGTTGCAGGCAGCTCTGTGCTCATTATGGTCATTCAGAGGACGTGGAGGGAGGAGGAGGAGGAGGAGGAGGTGGAGGAGGAGGAGAAGGCGGGACCTCACCCAGGGGACGCCAAATCTCCTGAGCCCTGGGTGAAGAGGAGGCTGGCGAGGCAAATGCCATTGTCATTGGGAGCTCGGTGCCTGGCCCGCGCCATGCCTGCTGCTGTGGCTGGCCGGGCCCGCCGCCACTCCCATGTACGCATGTGGTATGAAGAATGAAAGCAAGTCTATGTAGCGCGCAATCGAAGCGCGAGCAACGAGCGGAAGCGGCAACAACAGAAGAGACATTCGAGAGTCGGCAGAATACGTGGATGAACAGCGGGGGCAGGGAGGAAGGGGGAGAGGCGAGCAGGTGCCTGACACGAAAGCATATGTTTTGAGAAGTCCTCCCGAGCCGCACTGCAGATGGGGCACGGTTTGGTCCTCTCGCGGAAACGGCCACCTTGTGATCAAGCCGTTGCAGACTGTGCGGATGACAGAGGCGAGTACGGATCAGGGGAATATGGGGGCCACGAACAAACAAAACAATGTCAACTTACGTTTGTGGCAGACCTGCTCATCTGGGTTTTGCTTTTGCATTCGACGTGAAAAGATGTGCCAAGCGGGGGAGGTTCGACCGCGGAGAACCCGTGCGGCAGTGTGCTGGATTCTCGGAGTATCAGAAGGAAGAACCTGAAACATCGGAGCAATCGCACGGTAGTTCCGTATAAGACGATAACAAGCAAATTATTTTTGAAGCGCCTGCGACTTGCACAAGATAGCGCACTCATCGGTGCCATCGCAATCGTACAAGAGCCGCTCCACCCGCGCAAACGCGGCCGTTTGAATAATACAGCGGTGCTGAGCAGCCTGATGCAGCCTGAGTGAACAGTGATAGCTGGCGTGCTTCGATTGGGAAGCCGACGTCCTCGAGGTGCCATGCCATTGGGGCGGGGATGGCGCTCTGCGGACCCCTTACCAATCGTAGAAGTGCATCGCGCTCAGCTGTGTATACGGCCGTGGAGGGTGACCTCAGTTGACCTACATATGTGAGGGTGAGGAAAGCCCGCTGGTTATACAGAGCTACTGTTTTGGTGTTTTGGTCGAGCCGAGTTGAGGCCTTTGATGGCGGTGCTGATGTGATGATACTTCTGGACGGGCCCCTCCCAGCTCAACTCGTCCCTGCCAAATGAGGCCCAAGTACTTGCCCAACGTCTGAACTCGGAAAGTCCCCGAGGGTAGCCCGTGTGCTTGCGGAAGCGGTTGATCATCGGCTCGTTGACCCTGTGCGGGAAGACTAAGAAGGTCTTGCCCTGGTGCACCTGCAGCCCGAACTCGGCGTCGGCCATGTCCCGGACAACGACGGCCTTGACTAAGACTGGAAGCACATTCCGGCATGCAGTCCCAACGCCGTCGGCGAACGCCCCTGGCTGGTCGAGCTCTGGAGGGACGCACCAAGCGAGCGTCCAAACAACAGGATCGAAAGTGAGCGCCAAGAGGCTCCCACTCATCGGGCAGCCCTGGCGGATGCCCCCGCTGCATAAGAAACCCTCGGGAACGCATCCGCCAAACTGCACCACTATCCAACAGTCGACGTAGAGACAGTGGGTTGGACAAAAAGCTGGGAACCCCCACGGTCCCGAAGGACGTGGAGTATGGCGGAGTGCAAAAGGGGAAGGCGGCAGCAATTTCAAAGAAGATTTACCCGCTCCACTCCTGAGCATCCTGCACGAGCCAATGCAGCAACTTACTTTCCAAACCTATGATGTTGTCAATTCCGGACCCCCTTGGAACAAATCCCCTTGGGAACTGGCTACAATAGTTTCGCAGACTTACCGAAGAGGAGTGTTCAGAGCACGACAGATGAACTTGTCGACAGCATCATTCAAGGTGATTGGGCGGGTGTGCGTGGCAGCGCGCTTGACTGTGCCATCTGGCTAAATCTCGTCGCCTTTGGCCAGGAAGATCGCGCAGCTCGGGTTGAACGTTGGGTTCGTGCAGCCTGTGGTGAAGATTTGCGTGTAAAGTCCATGGAGTGCACGAGAAGGCCCCTTGCCTGCGAGGAGCCAAGCCTAGTAGCATAGCCCGTCGGGCCTAGCAGCAGACTCAGGAAGGCGTCGCTTGATCTCACAAAACTCTGAGAGCCCCAGCTCCCAGAAGACCGTTGCAAGGACAGGCTAGATGAAAGCATCAAATCGAAAACGTCGCTGGCCTTCGACGCGATCGGGATGCGCTTAACCCCCATGCCAAGCGAGCTCCATGGAGGTTTCGACGGGGTCCGTCAGGGCGCGGCCAGCAGGGCACGCCACCGTACCAGGGCCCATCCTTTTTCGTGAATCCCCCCATGCGCACTGGTATTTGTACAACGTTTGGGCGGCGGACTCTGATGTGATCTGAAAGGTCCCCATCAGTCACGCCTTGAATCCTCGCCTGGATGTTGCCACGCTGCAGGGCGTCCCGATGGTCATAAAGTCAAGGCGCGTCCACCCAGGAGCCGACCTCAAGATCGAAACAGCCCCGCAACTTGGAGCAGGCGATGCACACGCGCTCCATGGGCCACTTGTTTCCCGTGCATCGAGCCCTCAAGGAGTAGTAGGAGGAGGAGGAGGAGGAGGAGAGTCTAGCGATGGGAACCACGATGGTGATGATGATGATGATGATACTGCCGATTACGTTGATGATGATGATGATGATGATGATGATGATGATGATCATGAAGCTGATGCTGATGCTGATGCTGATGATGATGTTGATACTGATGCTGATGCTGATGCTGATGATGATGATGATGATGATGATGATGATGCTGATGCTGATGATGATGATGATGATGATGATGATGATGATGATGATGATGATGATGATGATGATGATGATGATGATGATGAAGAGCAGGATGAGCAAGGGGAGGAGGAGGACGAGGAGGAGGAGGAGGAGGAGGGTCGGTAAGAAGGATGATGCGGGAGAGGAGGAGGAGGAGGAGGAGGAGGAGGAGGAGGAGGACGAGGAGGAGAAGGAGAAGGAGAAGGAAAAGGAGGAGGAGGAGGAGGAGGAGGAGGAGGAGGAGGAGAAGGAGGAGCAGCAGGAGGAGGAGGAGGAGGAGAAAGAGGAGGAGGAGGAGGAGGAGGAGGAGGAGGAGGAGAAGGAGGAGGAGGAGGAGGAGCAGGAGGGGGGTCGTTAAGAAGGCTGATGTGGGAGAGGAGGAGGAAGAGGAGGAGAAGGAGGAGAAGGAGGAGGAGAAGGAGGATGAGAAGGAGAAGGAGGAGGAGAAGGAGGAGCAGCAGGAGGAGGAGCAGCAGGAGGAAGAGGAGGAGGAAGAGAAGCAGGTGAGGAGGAGAGCACCGCGGCAGCCGCCTGGAACTCCAACGAGTCGATCGTCTCGCCCTGGGCGGCGGGAGCGCCGTCGAGGGAGTCGGCCGGCTCTCCGAGCCTCGGCGGGAGCGGCCACGGGAGCAGGGGCGGGAGGCGAGCTGTTTCCCTAATCGAATTTCGCGGCAGGGTGCCAGTAGAGGTAGAAACGGACCACAGAGAGTGCCGTTCCGCCTGAAACTTCCTCACGCTTTATTCGTGAAACGTCCTCTCGCCTCAATGCCGGCTTCAATTTTGGTCTGGGCGGTCACGATTCCTGGCCAAACATACACATGGCCGTGATATCACCCCCGTCCTGGCTGAATTCTCCGTAGGAATACCTCGGAATACTTAGGAATGCACGTTTCCACTAGACGGTCTCCTATTCCTCGACCCGCCTCTTCACCTTTGCTGCTATTGGGGTGCTGTGCTGAAGTACTTATTTGGCAACCGCGCACACTTCTTGGAAGAAGGACGAGGGGGAGGAGGGCTGGGGGGGGCCCACCGCGCAGTGCCAGTACGTACACGATTGCCCTCCGCGGGAGGAGCTGGCACCCTACCCCATCACACCCATCTCTTCCTGCTGCGCTGTATCCTTTTCTATCTGCCGGCTGGGGTGCCCTAGAGGATCTTGATCCTCAAATGAAGCCATCGTGTGATGCTCAAACAGAGATAGCCAGGGTCTGCACGTCGGATTTGGGATCAGGTTGCGGATGAGCAGGAGGAGCAGGAGGATGAGGAAGGAGGAAAAGCAGCAAGAGCAGGAGGAGCAGGAGCAAGAGCAGGAGCAAGATGACCAGGGGAAGCCCCCCTTCTCACTCTCGTCACCCAATGCCCCCATCCCCTCCCCTTCTCACATTCCCATATCCCCCCGTATCCCCCCATGGCCTTTCTCTCCCTCATCTTGTCCTCCTCCTACCCCGTCTCAGTGGGAGCTACACTGACCCAGCCATACGGTTATGACTGGATGATCAAACATCAACTGTGATCCGCCACCATGCCCTCTGGCACGTTGAGGCGTGGTAGACTGCTAAGTGCTGTCTAAGCATCCTTCTAAGCATCCTTTCATGACGCTCACCTGCATGCATCACCTATCATCGCTCCCTCTTTGCTTTGCAACAAACTATGGATCCGCGATCCCGCGGCCACGATCCGTCTCGAGAGACGGTGGATCCGCGCTTCCGAGCCCACTGTCCTTCGCGAAAGACTGGGGCTCCGCGCTCCCGACCTTCCAAGACGGCCGAGGCAGGCAAACAAGGCCACCAAGATTGTCCACCCTGCGTCCGAGACGGCCCAAGGTGACCCCAAGGCGGCCCAAGAAGGAGGGCCTCCAGATGGGACCCCAGACGGCCTCAGAGAGCCCAAAGACGGCCGCAATCTATCGATCTTGCAAGAAGAAACAAGGGCTGGGGCAAGTGTCGGAGGAGACCGAGCTGCCGGGAGAGGCCCGCGCCGACCGGGGGTGTTCACCCTTCCTGCCACTTCAACGTCCCTTCATCTGGCCGTCGGCCTTGGCTGTGCCCTTGACACGACCATCGGAGCCAAAACTGCTGCGGGGCGTGCCTCGCTGTTCAGACGCCGACTCTCCGTAGTCCCATCAGCCCTCTACGAGTAAGTGGTTTAGGGAGTCAGCTCATCCAAACGCTTTTCTGTACCTTTACTTGTGAAAAGGGGCTTACCCATCCCCCTACCCCAAATCGCAACACTTCCCCCCCTTGCGTGGAATGGACTTGGCTGGGAATCTGGTACGGTTGGTGCCTACATGTCCATGGTCAAGGCAGCTTGTCTAGGAATCGCTATTGCCTGCTCATTCCCTTGCCGCGGACGCCCGCTGGCCGCTGCCCCCACCAACCACATCAGGCAACTTCAAACAACAATTGGAAGGATAACCGATGAGAGCCCAATCCGCGGCCGAAAGACAGATCTGCCCTTGCAGTTACTACAGCGGCGCTCTGGATTCAGACCGAAGATTGGCACCGCGAGACTCTCCGATGGAAACGGGTCCGGCCTGTGCTTCGACAGAAGCTCACGGAGCTTGCCCATGTCGGGGCTGACGCCCTTCATCGTTAGCTGCCCCCTGCACTGCGCGAACACCTCGGCGAGCCCCCCAACTGTTGTGAAGGGCGTTCGAGCAGCAGGAGGAGGAGGAGGAGGAGGAGGAGAGGCAGGATTATTATGGCGGTGGTGGTTGATTCGTGATGGTGATGATGATGGTGGTGATGTTGGTGACGGTGGTGATGATGCTGGTGATGCTGATGATGGCGCTGATGATGCAGATGACGATACTAGCGATGATGACGATGATGATGATAAGGATGATGATGAGGATGAGGATGAGGGTGCTGCTTATGATGATGATGGTGGTGGTGATGATGAGAATGGTAATGATGATGGCGATGATGATGCATGGTGATGACGACGACGCTTACGACGGTGACGACGATGATGTTGCTGCTGATGATGATGACGACGACGCTGGTAATGGTGATGATGCTGGTGATGCTGATGGTGATTGTGCTGCTGCTGCTGATGACGACGACGACGTCGATGACGATGATGATGACGATGATGATGATGATGACGATGATGACGATGATGATGATGATGACGATGATGATGAAGATGATGATGAGGAGGATGACTATGGTGATGTTGTTGATGATGATAACGTGATGGTGATGGCGATGATGATGAGGATCACGATGCTGACAGCGATGATGATGACTGCGATGATGAGAGGAAAAGGAGGCTGATGAGGAGGGGGAGGAGGAAGAGAAACACTGGGGAGGACTACCATGGACGGAGGCTGCGCGGGAGCTGCAGGAAAAAGTCGCGAAGAACTTCCATGTCAGCGCAGGTCCTCCCGAACTTCATGTGAGAGGCGGGCGCAATCTTTCATCGTGCATCTTTGCTTCCGATACTGCACAAGTCGTTAGTCGTGGACTTCCTTGCGAGGTGTGCGAGTGTGAGAACGAGGGGGGCCAGGAAGAGGACACGGCGCAGGGGGAAAGCGGAGGAGGAGGAGGAGGAAGAGGAAGAAAATGAACAGGAATTCGATTGGTCATTAGACAATGCGGGAACCTCTCCGTGTCGGCACATGTCACGAAATGTCAGACAGAGAACCGGGGGCAACAGCAAGGTGCAGATGCAGGATTAAGTGGAAGAGCGATGAAGGAGAGAAGGAACACGACCAGGAGGGGAACGATAGCATGAGGGGCGTACCGACGAGGGTGAAGAGGAAGAACGCACACATCCAGACCTAGATATCGAATGACATAGACACAGGCACAGACACTGACACAGACACACACCCACGCACACACACACACACACACACACACACACGCGCCTCCCCCCCCCCGCACACACGCACAACACACACAAACACGCGCGTACACACAAGCATAAACACACACATACACACGCGCACGCACGCACACACACACAAACACACACACACACACACACACACTCACGCACTCACACACACAAGCTCTCTACCGCACCACACCACCCTACTGTACACCACATCACACATCACGCATCACACATCACACATGACCATCACACATCACATATCACACATCGCGCATCGCACATCGCACACCACACACCACACACACACACACTCTCGCACACACCCGCCCATACACGTTTAAATCGGCGGCGCCAAGGATCCTCAGGCGCAAACGGCAGATGGAAATGTCCATTGCGATCGAACGTTGTCGAAAGCACAGTGCACAAACCGTGCACATTGTCAAATGCAGCACACGCGCGCACACACACACACTTACACACACTTGCATGCAGACACACACACACACACACGCACACACACGCACACACGCACACGCACACGCACACACACAACACACACACACACACACACGCACGCACGCACGCACGCGCACGCGCACGCGCACGCGCACGCGCACGCGCACGCGCACGCGCACCCGCACGCGCACGCGCACGCGCACCCATACACGCACACGCACACGAACACGCACACGAACACGCACACACACACACACCACGCACACACACACACACACGCACACACACAAACACACACGCACACGCACACACACACACGAACGCACCCACGCACGCATGCACGCGCACGCGCACGCGCACGCGCATGCGCACGCGCACGCGCACCCATACACGCACACGCACACGAACACGCACACACACAAACACACGCACACGCACACGCACATGCACACACACACACACACACACGCATACACGAACACGCACACGCACACGCACACGCACACGCGTACGCACACGAACACACACATACACGCGCACTCGCACACGAACGCACACACACACATGGACACACAGACACACAGAGGCACAGACACACAGACACACAGACGCATGGACACACAGGAACATAGACACACAGACACAAAGACACACAGACACACGGACACACAGACGCGAAGACACACTGACACACAAACACATAGACACATACACACGCACTCGGTCGCGGCAGAGAGAGGGGCCCAGCATCTGGCGTCCGCCTGGCAGGTCCCGAAGATGGTCTGCGGAGGCTGCGGCGCAGGCGCAGGCGCACCAGCCTCGGGACGCGTTCGTGCATGATCGTGTATCTGGGACACATAGTTGTACATATATGTGTACACGAATGCGTGAGCGCATATACATATGTATATATATGTACTTAGCCGATGCGAATATTCTGCCCAAACGCGACGCCTCCCGTTGGGCGACGGGGCCCCATTACATCGTTGTCAGTGGCGTTGCGCCCGCTACAAGAGAGGAGACATTAAAGGGGCCCGTTAGGCCGCGGGGCCCCAGCGCAATACTCTGTTCAAGCATAGCGTTGCCCAAGTCTCGGGAGAGAAACGCCTTTTCGAATCCGAATCCGATGGTTTAGAAATCCAGTCGAGATCGTTGTTTGGAGGACGTCTCAAGCGAAAACCACACATTCAAAATCTCTGATCAGAAATCTAACACTTGAAATGCCAAATGGTGCGGCCATTTCGAAGCGACGGTTTCGCTGGAGACTTCCTCAAACAAACACTTTGGAACGATTTCGAACTTTTCGGGCTCGATTTCGAAATGGCGCTCCCGCCCAAGAATTCCTCCAAACTAGAATTCGAGCAGTTCTGCTTCGACTTCGAAATGGCGCTCCCGCTCAGGACGTCTTCCGAAGCAAAGTTCGGAGCCTTTCGGTTTCGATTTCAAAATGGCGCTCCCGCCCGGGACTTCCTGAAAACTGGAAATCCACACTCTTCTGCTTCGATTTCGAAATGGCGCTCCCGCCCAGGACTTCATCGAATAAAGAAATCGGCACTTCTCCATCTCGAATTCACAATGGTGCTCCCTCCTGAGATTGTCTTGGTGAAAACACGAAACGGGCCAAACTGTTCGCAGCGCCGATGTATATGTATATGCGTATGTATTATGTTCGTTCTCTCTCTACATATATATATATATGTGTGAAGATTCACATCCGCCGATCTGGTGTGTGAATCTTAAAGAGCGTGGGCTCGAGCTTCGCTTGAGCTCTGCTCTGCAAAAGGGGTGTCCTCGTGCTGCGTTTTCCTGGGCTCGGGCTCGGGGTCCAGCCCTGGCCCCGGCCCCGGCTCCGGCACGGGCCCAGCCCTGGGCCTGGCCGCGGCCCGGCCCCAGCCCCACCGGCCGCGGCCCCGGCCCCGGCCCGGCCCGGCCCTGGCCCTGGCCCCAGCCCTGGCCCCGGTCTCCGCCCCAGCCAGGGCCCAGCCCCGGCCCCCGACCCCGTGCAGCCCCAGCCCGGGCCCAGCCCTGGGCCTGGCTCCGGCCCCGGCCCTGGCACCGGCCGCGGCCGCGGCCCCACTTGGGATGGTGCGCAAACGGCGGATAGACGATTGAATTGGTTTGCCCGGGGAAGTTTGACACTGGTTTCTAAGAGACGCGGGTGCCCTTGTGGGTTGCCGACGGCCCTGGCCCCGGCCCCCGGCACACCCAGCACACCCTGCGCACCCGGCGCCCCGCAGAAGAGACTGTTATGCCACCACAGCAAGCTCACGGGCAACCATTGCTCGGCCTGCTATGCGCAGACCTTCATGGCCTGCTGCTCAAGATATATTTTTGCAAATCGTTTCATCGGAGCTACTGAAGACGCCTTAGTTGCACTGGCACCGAATGTCATGTTGCTTTCTTCAGCACTGGTGATTACGGCAAAGCGACCTAACAGCGATGTGTAGGACCATATCTGGAAGCATTCCCCTTAAGATTCAGATGAGAATCTAGTTGTAGAATTCTGCTGTTCTCGCAGTCGTAGTCGCATTCGCGATGACAGTCGCAGTGGCAACGGCAGCCGCAGTCACAGCCTCAGCCTGCCTCAGCCTCAGCCTCAGCCTGCCTCAGCCTCAGCCTGCCTCAGCCTCAGCCTCAGCCTGCTCAGCCTCAGCCTCAGCCTCAGCCTGCCTCAGCCTCAGCCTGCCTCAGCCTCAGCCTGCCTCAGCCTCAGCCTCAGCCTGCCTCAGCCTCAGCCTCAGCCTGCTTCAGCCTCAGCCTCAGTCTGCCTTCAGCCTCGGCCTCAGCCTCAGCCTGCCTCAGCCTCAGCCTGCATCAGCCTCAGCCTCAGCCTCAGCCTGCCTCAGCATCAGCCTGCCTCAGCCTCAGCCTCAGCCTGCCTCAGCCTCAGCCTCAGCCTGCTTCAGCCTCAGCCTCAGTCTGCCTTCAGCCTCGGCCTCAGCCTCAGCCTGCCTCAGCCTCAGCCTGCATCAGCCTCAGCCTCAGCCTCAGCCTGCCTCAGCATCAGCCTGCCTCAGCCTCAGCCTCAGCCTGCCTCAGCCTCAGCCTCAGCCTGCTTCAGCCTCAGCCTCAGTCTGCCTTCAGCCTCGGCCTCAGCCTCAGCCTGCCTCAGCCTCAGCCTGCCTCAGCCTCAGCCTCAGCCTCAGCCAGCCTCAGCTCAGCCTGCCTCAGCCTCAGCCTCAGCCTGCCTCTGCCTCAGCCTCAGCCTGCTTCAGCCTCAGCCTCAGTCTGCCTTCAGCCTCGGCCTCAGCCTCAGCCTGCCTCAGCCTCAGCCTGCATCAGCCTCAGCCTCAGCCTCAGCCTGCCTCAGCATCAGCCTGCCTCAGCCTCAGCCTCAGCCTGCCTCAGCCTCAGCCTCAGCCTGCTTCAGCCTCAGCCTCAGTCTGCCTTCAGCCTCGGCCTCAGCCTCAGCCTGCCTCAGCCTCAGCCTCAGCCTCAGCCTCAGCCTCAGCCAGCCTCAGCCTCAGCCTCAGCCTGCCTCAGCCTCAGCCTCAGCCTGCTTCAGCCTCAGCCTCAGTCTGCCTTCAGCCTCGGCCTCAGCCTCAGCCTGCCTCAGCCTCAGCCTGCATCAGCCTCAGCCTCAGCCTCAGCCTGCCTCAGCATCAGCCTGCCTCAGCCTCAGCCTCAGCCTGCCTCAGCCTCAGCCTCAGCCTGCTTCAGCCTCAGCCTCAGTCTGCCTTCAGCCTCGGCCTCAGCCTCAGCCTGCCTCACCCTCAGCCTGCCTCAGCCTCAGCATCAGCCTGCCTCAGCATTCAAAATGTGGCCCGGGAATGGAGTTCTGGGAACTCGAAGACCACGAAGTGGCCTACAGTTGGCTCCGGGCATTCAAAATCATGCCCAAGAATGGAGTTCTGGAAACTCGAAGACCACGAAGTGGCCTAGAGTTGGCTCCGGGCATTCAAAATCATGCCCAAGAATGGAGTTCTGGGAACTCGAAGACCACGAAGTGGCCTACAGTTGGCTCCGGGCATTCAAAATCATGCCCAAGAATGGAGCTCTGGGAACTCGAAGACCACGAAGTGGCCTACAGTTGGCTCCGGGCATTCAGAATCATGCCCAGGAATGGACTTCTGGGAACTCGAAGGCCACGAAGTGCGTTACTGTTTGGGAAAAAGGGAGTCCCTTGTTTTCCGGGGCACCCGTCCGGATCCCGCCCAGACCCCCCTGAGGAGTCATGATGCTCTCTTTTGACCCTTATAGAAACCTATCAGTCTTCGCTGTTACAGCTGGCTCCAGGCATTCCAAGTCATGCCCAGGAATGGAGTTCTGGGAACTCGAAGATCACGAAGTGGCCTACGGTTGGCTCAGGGCATTCAGAATCATGCCCAGGAATGGAATTCTGAGAACCCGAAGACCACGAAGTGCGTTACTGTTGGGTAAAGTTGGAGTCCCCGGTTTTCCGGGGCACCCGTCCGGATCCCGCCCAGACCCCCCTGGGGAGTCATGATGCTCTCTTCTGACCCTACTAGAAACCCATCAGTCTTCGCTGTTAGGTAACAATTATCCCGGCGAAGCAACCTAACAGCGATGTGTAGGAGCATATCTGGCAGCAGTCCCCCTAAGATTCAGATGAGAATCGAGATGTAGAATTCTGCTGTTCTCGCAGTCGTAGTCGCATTCGCGATGACAGTCGCAGTGGCAACGGCAGTCGCAGTCACAGCCTCAGCCTCAGCCTGCCTCAGCCTCAGCCTCAGCCTGCCTCAGCCTCAGCCTGCCTCAGCCTCAGCCTCAGCCTCAGCCTCAGCCTCAGCCTCAGCCTCAGCCTGCCTCAGCCTCAGCCTGCCTCAGCCTCAGCCTCAGCCTGCTCAGCCTCAGCTCAGTCTGCCTTCAGCCTCAGCCTCAGCCTCAGCCTCAGCCTCAGCCTCAGCCTGCCTCAGCATCAGCCTGCCTCAGCCTCAGCCTCAGCCTCAGCCTCAGCCTGCCTCAGCCTCAGCCTCAGCCTGCTTCAGCCTCAGCCTCAGTCTGCCTTCAGCCTCGGCCTCAGCCTCAGCCTGCCTCAGCCTCAGCCTGCATCAGCCTCAGCCTCAGCCTCAGCCTGCCTCAGCATCAGCCTGCCTCAGCCTCAGCCTCAGCCTGCCTCAGCCTCAGCCTCAGCCTGCTTCAGCCTCAGCCTCAGTCTGCCTTCAGCCTCGGCCTCAGCCTCAGCCTGCCTCAGCCTCAGCCTGCATCAGCCTCAGCCTCAGCCTCAGCCTGCCTCAGCATCAGCCTGCTCAGCCTCAGCCTCAGCCTGCCTCAGCCTCAGTCTGCTTCAGCCTCAGCCTCAGTCTGCCTTCAGCCTCGGCCTCAGCCTCAGCCTGCCTCAGCCTCAGCCTGCATCAGCCTCAGCCTCAGCCTCAGCCTGCCTCAGCATCAGCCTGCTCAGCCTCAGCCTCAGCCTGCCTCAGCCTCAGCCTCAGCTGCTTCAGCCTCAGCCTCAGTGCCTTCAGCCTCCTCAGCCTCAGCCTCAGCCTCAGCCTCAGCCTCAGCCTCAGCCTCAGCCTGCCTCAGCTCAGCCTGCCTCAGCCTCAGCCTCAGCCTCAGCCTCAGCCTCAGCCTCAGCCTCAGCAGCCTCAGCCTCAGCCTCAGCCTCAGCCTCAGCCTCAGCCTCAGCCTCAGCCTCAGCCTCAGCCTCAGCCTCAGCCTCAGCCTGCCTCTTCAGCCTCAGCCTCAGCCTCGGCCTCAGCCTCAGCCTGCCTCAGCCTCAGCCTGCATCAGCCTCAGCCTCAGCCTCAGCCTGCCTCAGCATCAGCCTGCCTCAGCCTCAGCCTCAGCCTGCCTCAGCCTCAGCCTCAGCCTGCTTCAGCCTCAGCCTCAGTCTGCCTTCAGCCTCGGCCTCAGCCTCAGCCTGCCTCAGCCTCAGCCTGCCTCAGCCTCAGCCTCAGCCTCAGCCTCAGCCTGCCTCAGCATCAGCCTGCCTCAGCCTCAGCCTCAGCCTGCCTCAGCCTCAGCCTCAGCCTGCTTCAGCCTCAGCCTCAGTCTGCCTTCAGCCTCGGCCTCAGCCTCAGCCTGCCTCAGCCTCAGCCTGCATCAGCCTCAGCCTCAGCCTCAGCCTGCCTCAGCATCAGCCTGCCTCAGCCTCAGCCTCAGCCTGCCTCAGCCTCAGCCTCAGCCTGCTTCAGCCTCAGCCTCAGTCTGCCTTCAGCCTCGGCCTCAGCCTCAGCCTGCCTCAGCCTCAGCCTGCCTCAGCCTCAGCCTCAGCCTGCCTCAGCATTCAAAATGTGGCCCGGGAATGGAGTTCTGGGAACTCGAAAAGACCACGAAGTGGCCTACAGTTGGCTCCGGGCATTCAAAATCATGCCCAGGAATGGAGTTCTGGGAACTCGAAAAGACCACGAAGTGACCGACAGTTGGCTCCGGGCATTCAAAATCATGCCCAGGAATGGAGTTCTGGGAACTCGAAGAACACGAAGTGGCCGACAGTTGGCTCCGGGCATTCAAAATCATGCCCAGGAATGGAATTCTGGGAACTCGAAGAACACGAAGTGGCCTACAGTTGGCTCTGGGCATTCAAAATCATGCCCAGGAATGGAGTTCTGGGAACTCGAAGACCACGAAGTGCGTTACTATTGGCTTTAAAACAATCTCCGGTTTTCCCTGGCACCCGTGCGGATCCTGCCCAGGCCCCCCTGGGGAATCAGGATGCTTTCTTTGGACACCACTAGAAACCTATCAGTCTTCGCTGTTAGGTAAAAAGGGTTAGGAGGTGAAGTTGAAAGTAATCCAACACAAGCAAGGCGTCAACTTCGGAGCTGCGGTCGTGAAGCAATAGCGACGAGGGAACTAACTTCAAGGAGTGAATTGAAATTGTGGGTTACCAGATCGCGCGATCGCAGCGAAGCGGGATATGATGCCCTGTGCGAGCTCCGAGCGTATGGGACCAACAAGCTGTCCTGCTCCTCCTCCTCCTCCTCCTCCTCCTTCTCCTCCTCCTCCTCCTCCTCCTCCTCCTCCTCTTCTTCCATGACACGTGTTGCTGGATAGAGGAAAATCGCTTGCGGTGCGTGCCCGAGCCAGATGCACGTCGGAAAGTCAGGCAAAGTGCGGCGGATCCGAAGCCAGGGCCGCCTTCTGCCCCCCCTGCCTTCCCCCCCGAGCGGGCCGTCGGGCGAGCGCAGCGGCGGCGCCGTCCCGGGGGCGTTCGGGCGCCCTGCTTGGAGGCCCTCATCGCCGCGGCCAGGCAGGGGCTCGAGCAGAGGAGTCCCGGGAGTGGGCCAGGTCTGGGGAGCCGGGCACGCGGCGTCTCGGACAAAATCAGGATGGATACATATATATATGTAATAAATGTATATATATATATATATATATGTATATCGATTCTCGGCCTCTGTGGCCCTTACGGGGCCCTGGAGCAGTCATCAAAAAAGCGAATGGAAAGCCAGTCCTGGAGAACGGGTCGGGACTGGGAACCTGCGCCACATAACTTCGAGCCTCGCGCCCTGCGATGTGCGAAGAGCGGTTATCTTAGCGCTCTCGCGCCGCCGCCCAGGAGACGTGCGCCTCTCCGACCTGAGCCGCGATGCGCGAAGCGTGATTATCTTCGCGCCCTGGGGGTGACCCAGGAAACCGGCCTTGAACAAGTCAAGCGCGTTCCACTTCTCGCGAGGCAACTACTCTCACATGACCTGGATCGCCGCGGGGAATTCACGATCCACTGCATCGAGACCAACATTTCTTTTTCGAACGTTTACCCGTAGGCTCCCAGGGTGAGTCCTGACCAGAGTTTGGGAGCGAATCTAGAGGTGGCGACGAGGGCCTCCCAGGAAGCCCGAAAAGAGGTTAACCAAGGAAGGTCGCAGTATGGGTGCCCTCTCCTCCTCCTCCAAGAGGAAGGCCAAACCGCCGAGAGCCTCCCACGCCGACCGTGGCCGCCGACTCGCCGCCGCCCGCGCGCCCGCGCGGCCCCGGGGGCCTCGGGCCCGTCTCCGCCACCCCCCTGCGGCCGAACTTCGGCTCCGCCACCAGGCGCCGGGCCTCGGCGCTGGAGGAGCGGGGAGGGCACGCTCCTCGGGCGCGGCCTGACCCACACCTCCTCCTCCTCCTCCTCCTCCTCCTCCTCCTCCTCCTCCTCCTCCTCCTCCTCCTCCTCCTCCTCCTCCTCCTCCTCCTCCTCCCCCCCTCCTTTTCCTCCTCCTCATCCTTTTCAGTTCCTGCTCCTTATGAATAACTCTTCCCTGTCGCACTCCGAGGCTGGTCGGAAGGGCGGGCTGGGCGCTTCGCCTGAGACTTCCTTACCACTTATGAGTCTGAAGCTTTCTCTTGACAGCGGTTTCACAAATTACAGGCGAGCGGTTTTGAAAATGTGGCTCTCGTCTTAGCGACGCGCGCGCTCGTCTCAAACATTGGCGAGCACTTCACGGATGGAGGGCACGTTGTTCAACATGTGGCTCTAGGCTTAGAACCGCGCGCATTCGCCTTTAAAACTGCAGGAGCTTCACGGATTGAGGGCTTTTCAAAATGTGGTTCTCGCCTTAGCGCCGCGCGCACTCGTCTTAAACATTTGCAACCATCCACTGGATTTAAGGCGGGTCGTTTTCAAGATGTGGCTCTCGCCTGAGTGCCGCGCGCAATCGTTCCAAAACATGTGCAATCATTTCTCAGATTGAGGGCGGGTGGTCTTCAACATGTGGCTCTCGCCTTAGCGCCGCGCGCATTCGTTCTAGAACATTTGCATGGGCTCCACATATTGAGGGCGGCTCATTTTCAAAATGTCGCTCTCGCCTCAGCGCCGCGTGTATTCGTTTTCACAACTGCAAGAGCTTCACGGATTCTCGTGAGTAACCTTCCAAACATGGTGTTTCCAAGCGGTCCAGGATTGTCAGGGCGCACCAATTATGTTGATTCGCGGGGTTGAAGTCCCAGGAATGGATTTCTGGCACGGTTGAAGGTCAAGACGCAACAGTCCGATTGACTCGTGGCGTTGCAGCCCCGAGAATGGTGTCTTGGCGCGCTTTCGGATTTTCGAACGGTTGACTCCCATGGGGCAGTTCCCTCAGTGGAAGTGAATCCTTATATGGGGCCTGTGAAAAGGGAACTTGGAAGGAACGTGTATCCCAACATCGTTGATGAGTCTTGGGTTTGCACTCGTCCTCCTCATCCTCCTCCATTCTTTTTCCTTCTGAATGACTCCTCCCTGTCGCACCCCGAAGCCGGTAGGAAGGGCGGGCCGGGCGCTTCGCCTGAGACTTCCTTACCACTGATGAGCCTGCCCGCGAGACGGGTTTGCCCGCGAGACGAATTAGAAATGAACAATGTATAATGGTCCCGAAGCTTAGAACGCGACAGCGGTTTCACACATCAAAGGAGAGCGCTGGCATGTTGGCCATCGGTGGAGATCCGTATGGGGCCACGAAACGTGTTAGGGGTGTGCCACACTGGGTGTGGTGGGCGCATGCGGGCGCTGGCATTTGGGCTTTCGGTGGAGCTCCCAATGGGGCCACGAAACGTGTGAGGGGTGTGCCACAGTGGGTGCGGCGGGCGCATGCGAGCGCTGGCCCTTAGGCTTTCGGTGGAGCTCCCTGTGGGGCCGCGAGACGTGACGGGTGTGCCAAAACGGGTGCAGTGGGCGCATGCGGGCGCTTGTTTTAGGCCTTCGGTGGAGCCCCCTATGGGGCCACGACCAAAATGAAGGAGGTGACGGGAGGAGGGAGGAGGAGCAGGAGGAGGAGAGGAGGAGGAGGGGGAGGAGGAAGGAAAGAGGAAGGAGGAAGGAACGCGGGGCGCTGTCTCTTCGAAACGAAGACCCAACACCCCAAGATGGTTGGGAAGGCCCCCCGGACCCCTCTCGGGGTCTGTCCGGTGCAGCTTGTCACCCCAAATCTGTGTTTCGTAGTTCTGGGCCGACGCCAAAACCTCGAACCGACCGAACCGTAAACGTCCCCTCTCTCTCTCCCACCCGCCCCTTTTCTGGAGGACAGGTTCCGGCGCCCTCCGGTTCCTACCCTCGTGCGCCTACAGGTGAGCGGTGGGCCGGCCTCCTTCACATGATCAGCTGCAGGGTCGCATTCCCCTGGCGCTCTGGCGCCACCGCATGGCTCTCGTAGGGCCGCCCCTCCTGGGGCGGCAGGCTGGCGCCTCGCCTCGCCCCGCCGCTCCTTTTCTGCCCGCTCAGCGCGCCACGAGCGGGTCGAACGCCCGAGGGGCCAGCACCTCCTCGTGGAGCGCCACGAGGCCGACCACGACCATCGCCACCAAGGCCGCCAAGGCCTGCCACCAGGCGCCGGCCCACTCCTGTTCTCCGTGCGCGAGAATACGGATGGTATGATCAGTTCTCCCAGCCCCATCCTCCCAACCCGATGATTGTCTTGCTGTGTCTGTCTGATTCTGGGGGACCAACACTGCCCCAGCAAAATGCCCTAATCGTAGCAAAGGTGAGCATGGCCAGGTGCACGGGTACGCACCAAAGAATGTGGCCGTCCAGACCAAAAATGTAGCTCTCAGGCGAAACCGCGGCGGACCGTGCCAGACCGGGCTGTGCAGCGCTCCCCGTCCCCCCTGTGGGACTCGTCTGCGGTCCTTTCTGATTTCGAATGGAACGACCAAGATTTCGAGGCGAATCTGGCCGTGGTGACGAAGGAAGGGCTAAGCATAAAGGAGACGGCCCTGAGGGAAACGAGTACTGGACCCTGGGCCCTTCCCCGAGAGCAATTCTTCATGCTGAGTCGTTTTCTGACGGTCCCGGGGCCCGTGTAGGGCTCCAATAAGTCCAGAACGGCGAAGAGCTGCAGGACCAGCTTCCCTCGCGGCGATACCGTGGTGACGAGGGAGAGGGTACCAATATAGTCTTCCTAGGCTTAGAGGAACAGAAAACGGCATGAGCATAATTTGTCGACGGTTCGCGTGGCCTTCTTGGATCCGCGCAGGACACTCCTCCTCCCTGGCGCGCAGAGCGAGCCAGCGGCGGCGCCGAAGGCGGCGCCAGGGGGGGGACAGCGCCGATCCAAGAAATCCGTGGGACCTTCGACATTGTATGTTTGTGCAATTTGTTATTCTTCTTCTCCTTCTTCTTCCTGTCTGGATTCCTGCTTCCGGTAGCGCTCGTCCACCTCGCGCTCCAGCACAGCCTTCAGCTTGTCCTCCTCTCGCCCCAGCCCCGCCAGCGCCTCGCTGGCGCCGCCCTCGGCCCAGGGGGCCGGCAGGCGGCGCCCCTCCGCCGCGTGGAAGGAGGCCATGACCGCCGCGCACGCGGCGAAGATGATGATGGCGAAGTGCATGCAGTTGAGGCCGTGGACGGGCAGCAGCCACCCTGAGAATACAGCGCGTATTCGCGGCGATGGCGGGCGTCGATGGGGGAGGGGGGAGGGGAGGGGGGGGGCGGGTGATGGGTGCAGAACGAAACGCTCCCGCACCCCACCGTGCCAGACTGTGGTGGCGGACGCACGGTGGCAGCGTCTGGGACGCACTGGGGAGGGGGGGGTCGCTACGTTATGGGGGGTGGGGCGGGGGGGCAGGAGGGGCACCACGCGTGTTGTGGACCAGAGTGTTGTTCGGGCTCGGCAGGTTGAGGGGCCATTCAGCCGGATTGGCCCAAGCACAACCCATGATCAAGCCAGATTGGGCGGGATGAAATGGAGCTGGCTCGGATTACATCCCCAGGACGAGTTCGCTTTCATCTTGGACCCAGTACGACGGTTCGAAGTTTTGAGCCGACGCGTATGAGGTAACCACTGTCGGATCCAATGTAGCACGCGCGGATCCAATTTTAGTTTTGGCTTGTGTTTCAGCAAGCCCGATTTCGGCCCGCACGGATCCGATTTCCGATGTTTGGGATCCGATTTCCGTTATATTTTTCACGCGGTACGGGGGAGGTGGTTCGGTTACCAATTTCCCAAGATGGGTCCTGCGCTGTCTCGCGCACTCCCATCAATTCTCCGCGCGCGCGGGCCCCACTCAACATGCAGACTAACATCTCTCTTCCCGATCGCTGCAAACAGCTCGTCCAGACGCCGTACGTTCGGCGGCGCTGATGCTGTCTCGCGAACTCCTCATCGCCGTTTTCACCTCAAGAGGGAAATCTGTAGTTCTGCGTACGTATACGCCGGATTGGACCTATTTTCGGCCATGGATCTACCAGCGCCGATGCTCTATTAAACCTCGGCGGCGCGTCTGGGGGGGCAATGAGAAGGAACAAGCTTTCTCGGAAAGCGGCGGGGCTTCTCAAAAGCTCCCCTGGCCTTCTGGCAAGCTTTCCGCGTCTCCGGGGAAGGCGGAAGAAACTTCTCAGAAGGCCCGAGGCCTCCCGAGCCGTCTGACAAGGCCTCCTCCTTCTCACTTCCGCACCAGGCTCGCCGCCGATAACCTCCCAAAAATTGCATCCGGACCTGGGAGCTGGCTCTCGGAGAATACGTCGTGCACGACCGAATAGGCACACCCCAGCAGCAGCCCCGAGCATGTGGTAACCCAGGCGTTCTCCGTGCTGAAGCTCGGCCACAATGAGCCTATGAACAGAATGAGAGGAGCCTCCTCGGCAAGGAGGAGAGGAGCCTCCCCCCCTCCTCCTCCTCCTCTTCCTCCTCCTCCTCCTCCTCCTCCTCCTCTTCCTCCTCCTCCTTCTACCCCTGTTCCCCCTCCTCCTCCTCCTCCTCCTCCTCCTCCTCCCTCCTCCTCCTCCTCCTCCTCCTCTACATCCGTATCCTTCTTGGCTCCCTGTCCTCCACCTCCTCCTCCTCCTCCTCCTCCTCCACCTCCCCCTCCTCCTTCACCTCCTCCTCCTACTCATCATCATCATCAGCATCAGCATCAGCATCAGCATCAGCTCAGCATCAGCATCAGCATCAGCATCATCATCAGCATCAGCATCAGCATCAGCATCAGCATCAGCATCAGCATCAGCATCAGCATCATCATCATCATCATCATCATCATCATCATCATCATCATCATCATCATCATCATCATCATCATCATCATCATCATTCCTCACCGTTCTCCCAGGCGACAGAGGGCCTAGGAACACGACCGCGATGGGGCCACACCAGATGGCCGATACTAGAGGAAGAAAAAGCGGCATGAACATAAACTTTCAACAGTCCGCGCAGATTTCTTGGATCTGCTCTGGCCCCCCTCCCTGGCGCGCAGAGAGCGCCAGGGATGGCGCCAGAGGCGCCGCATGGGGGGCCCAGCGCAGATCCAAGAAAGCCGCGCGGAGCATCGAACGTTTATGCTTATGCCGTCTTTTCTTCATCGACATACGTTCTGGATGTAAAGGAAGAGGCCGTCGCCGTTATTTGCGATGACCGGCAGCCATAGGAGCGACACGACTGCCACCACCAGCGTGAACATGCGACCGACGAAGACCATCTGGGCCTCGTCGGCGTCGGGGTTGTGGCTCCGGTACACCACCATGGTGAAGAGTGTGCTGCAGGAGTTGAAACAGGAGGCCAGCGCGGCCATGAAGCTGCTCAACATCGCGGCGATCATGACCCCCTTCCAGCCGTGCGGCAGCAGATTAACGACCAGCACGGCGAACGCGCTGTCCGTGTCTTCGGACACCTCTAGAAGAAAAAGCTGCATAAACATAAACGTTTGGAGGCCCGCGCAAATGTCTTGGATCTGGGCTGGAAGCCCCTCCTCGGCGCTCGGAGCGCGCCAGGGGCAGCGCCGGAGACGCCGCTAGAGAGCCCCAACGCTGATTCAAGAAATCCGCGCGGAGCGTCGAACTTTTATGTTTATGCCGTTTTTTTCACTTCGAACCTCGTCGGGGTAGAGCGCCATCGCGATCATCCCAGGCAAGACCATCAAGTACATCGGCAGGATCTTGAGCCACGCCGCCAGCACGCAGCCTCGCTGTGCGACGGCTGGCCTGTTGGTCGCCAGCACCCTCTGCACCATGACCTGGTCGGTGCACCAGTACCAGATCGAGTTGATGGGCATGCCCAGGAGGCAGCCCAGCCAGGGAAAGTCGGGGTCGCTCAGCGGCCTGACCGGCTGCAAGTTCTCTCACGTGTATTGCGTGCTGCTGTGCAGCACGCATGAGTTGCGCCCAGGGCGCGACCCTTGGTGCTGGTTCTGTGAGGCTCTGTGAAGCTTGGGGGGGCAACCACGACGCACGCGCGGCACGGGCAGTGTCAACAAGATTCGTCTTGCAGCGCAGGCACGCACGCGCGCGCGCAGTGTTGCATTTGAGCATGCTTGTGGGCAGAAGCTGTGGCCAGGCTCAGGCCCAGCGGTGCTAGAGGCCCGATTCCAGTAGGGCCGCATGTCGACAGGCCTGGTCCGACTTTGGAAGAAAGGCGTCTTGGTGAGTCGCCGGTTTCATCCAAGAGGGGAGGAGGAGACGCGACCCTTCGATTAGGGCGGGGAGAGGCGACCTCGACGAGAGGGCGACTCGAGGGGGGGGAATAGGCGATCAACTCGACCGCCACTCCACGCTCGGCACCGCGCGAGGGGCGACGGCGCGGTCATTTTCGCGCTCTCGCGAGGGCGGCCAGACCGCGACGCGCGAAGCGCTGCTGACTTCGCGCCCCCCGGGTGACTTAGACCAAGGGATACCAAGGGGACGGGAAACTTGCGCCCGCCCCCCCCCTCAAAGTTGAAGGTGTGCTATCGAAGGTAATAGGCCAGCCAACTTGGCTTTGAACTCGACTTTGAAGGCAACGTCTGAGACAACTCAATTCGAAGGGGGGTCTGGTCTAGACCAAGGTGGTGGGGGATGATGGTATAGGCCTCGCAGATCGCAGATGGTGTCCGAGTAGATGGTACAGGCCTCCCAGAAGGCCTCTCACAATCGGTCTCACTATCGATCTCACTCTCGACCTCTCTGTCGATCTCACTATCGATCTCACTATCGATCGCACTATCGATCTCACTATCGATCTCACAATCCATCTCCCTATAGATCGCACGGTCGGTCTCACGATCGATCTCACTATCGATTTCATTCAATCGACTTCACTATCGGTCTCACTGTCGACCTTCTCTCGTTCTCACGATCGATCCCACTATCGATCTCTCAATCCGACCAGAGGATATCACGGGCCAATTTCGGGATACAAAACTTATTCATGGATGCGCACGTAGAGAAACCACAGGTACTTGTGTGTATGCATCCTTTCGAACATGTCATATGTACATGCGACTGGGGAGCACATAGTCAAGCTAATACACAATTCCCCAATCCATACTTGCACTGAAGGTGTCCTAGCGGATGTTGAAAGCCTTGGCGAAAATTCCGAGCCGATTTCGGTAAACGGCCAGGTTCCCAAAATACCGGTTCCTGGTATCCCGGTTGCTGGTTCTGGGCCGATTTCGGTGGGCTGCGGGGCTCCCGGGTTTCCAGGTTCCCGGTCGATTTCTTTATCGATCTCACGATCGAACTCACTATCGATCTCATGATCGATCTTACCATCCATTTCACTCATTCGACTTCGATATCAATTTCATTATCGGTTGTGAAGAAGTAGACAAACGCCCACCCCAGCCCAGCACGGCGTCTTAACAAAATGGGGTCCCCCCGCTTTAGCCGTCCAGCCCAGAACACCCCAGCTCAACACGGCGCCTTAACAAAATGGGGTCCCTTGGCGTTAGCCGACAAACCCAGCACACCACAGCCCACCACGGCGACATAACAAAATGGGGTCCCCGTGGCTTTAGCCGACCAGCCCAGCCCACCCCAGTCCAGTACAATGTTTTTATACAGTGGAGGAGGATGAGGGGGACAATCAGCATGGGGAGGAGGAAAGGAGGAGAAGGAGGAGGAGGAGGAGGAGGAAGAGGGAGGAGAAGGAAAATAAGGAAGCTGACGAGGTAAGAGGAAGGAGGAAACTCAGAGCACCCTCAGAGGAGAGGCAAGCCAAACGCCAAATGCCGCCCACCCCTGCCCAAGCTGGCGAATTAACCAAATGGGGTCCCCGGGCCCCAAGGTTTTAGCTGGCCAGTCACGCGGCCAGTCCGGCCCACCCCTGCCCAGCACGGCGACTCAACAAAATGGGGTCCACCTGGCAGACCAGCCCGGCTCACCCCAGCACAGCACGGCGACATAACAAAACGTGGCGCCCCTGGCTTTAACCGACCAGCCCGGCCCACCTCAGTCCAGCACAGCGTTTTAACACAATGGAGAAAGATAAAGACGGGAAGTATGTAGGGCCGTATTGGGCCGTCGACGGGCCCTCTGATGTCGTCTGTCTTGGAGGCCTCGTCGGCCGTTTCGAACCGACGCATGCCTGATAAGGCGAGAATGCCATAACCTGGACAACCTTACAAAGAATTAGTGTTCAGGACTTCTTTGGACCCGCCGGCGAAACTGCGGCCAGGCATGGTGCCTGCCACATTTTCAAATCATCCGCTAATTTGATGTTGATCGGGTGTAATGTGTATACGCATGTATCGATGTCAATCATACATCCATCCATCCATACAGACATAAACACATGCATACATACACACATACGTACATACGTACATACGTACACACGTACATACGTACATACGTACATCCGTACATCCGTACATACGTACATACGTACATACGTACATACGTACATACATACATACATACATACATACATACATACATACATACATACACACATACACACATACATTTATGCACGCAATGCATTACATTACATCACAGTATATTACATTACATTGCATTACATTACCTTCCATTGCATTACATTACATTGCATTACATTGCCTTACATTGCATTGCATTGCATTGCATTGCATTACATTACAGTACATTACATTGCACTACATTACATAACGATTCCATTACATGTCATTACACTACATTACATTGCATTGCACTGCATTGCATTGCATAGTATTGTACAACATTACATTACACTACATTCCATTCCATCCCATTTCATCCCATTATATTCCACTACATACAATAGACATATATATATATATACATGCATACCCCTACGTATCCGTACGTATCCACGGCCTTGCGGGTCAGGCCCCTGGGTCTGACATTGTGGATACGGGGCGCCTTTTCGCAGATGCCCTGCGCGGATCGCGCCCCAGAATCCTGACCGCCACTCGTGAATGGCAATGAGTGGCAACGATTGGTACGCAGGAAATGGGCACGGACAAAATGGGTACGACGCCCAACAGCAAATACTGTCTAAATCTGACAGCGGCCGCTGTTGGTAAGGCGATCTCTTGTTTCAAATGGACAACGTCCGCGGCGACAGCGACACAGCGAATCCTGCTCAAAATGGGCAAGGACTGCTGTCAGTCTTCGTCCCCATTTTGTCGGTACCCATGTCGATCACACCGAGACGAGGAGGCGGATCGGGGGTGGACAGAACCCCCTTTAGCAAGCCACCCGTTGGTGAAAATTGCCAGGGGCACGCCGCTGGCGCACGGCACCGCATCCCAAGTAGACTCCAGCGGAGCAGCTAATCGACGTCCACAAACAAACGAATGTATCCAGCGAGACGCACGTCGATGAACAAAACCGACTGCGGACTGCAACGGCGCACTCGACTGCCAATTTCGAGTGAACCCGTGTAGATTTCCTCAGTCGACTTGTCTGGGGTGGGCGTTCTTGGCGGCGCGCACAAGGAGATTGGGGGAGCGGGGAAAGCTTCTTAGAAAGAGGCTGCTTCTTGGAAAGCGCCGGCCCTGCATAGAAGGCCCGCGCCTTCTAAGAAGCAGGGGTGCTTCTGATAAGCCTCCCCCACTCCCCCTGTCCCTTGTGCGGCGCCGCCGAAGCGGGGAGCGGCCAGAGTTCCCAAACGTCGAGTGGGCTTGACTGCTCTCCTTCGTCTGGTGAAGGCCTGCCAGGCTCTTCACGGGCCTCGGGGCCCTAATGGCGGCGAGATGACCGAGGGCATAGCCATGAGGGCCAGAAGGACGACAGATGACAGTCACATGTTGAAGCCGCGTGGCCGAGGGCCGAGGCGTTCTGCCAATGCCCGGGCGGAGGAGGGCCTGACCAGGTGAAAGTAGCCTGCCGGCAGCTTGGCCTCCAGGCCGGGCCAGCCGCCGACCTCGTCGAGACCGTAGAACAGGAGCGCGCAAGTGCCGAACAGGAGCACCACGACCTGCAAGACTTCCGTGTAGAGCACGGCCGCGAGCCCACCGAAAGACGTGTACATGGGCTCCGTGGTCGCTTCGCCGCCGAGGAATCGAGGAAGGAAGTAAAAAGTAAAGCATAATGGCCAGGAGGAAGAGGACGAGCTGCAGAGGAGGGAGTGGAGGAGGAGGGCCAAGAGGAGGAGAAGGCGGAGGAGGAGGAGGAGGACGAGGAGGATAGTAATCGAGGAAGGAAAGAAACACGGCATACGTAAACATAAATTTCGGAACTCCGCATGGATTTCTTGGATCGGCGCTGAGCCCCACTGGCGGCGTCTCCAGCGCCGCCCTAGGCGCGCTCCAGGCGCCAGGGAGGGGGGGGGGGGGCAGCGCAGATCCAAGAAACCCGCGCGGAGCTCCGACAATCTGCATCCGAAAATGTGATCAAGAAAACAAAATCGTCCAGGGCATCGGGTCCAGCAGCCCGGAAACTTCTGGAATCAAGCCTGGGCCAATTTATGTTGTTCACGCTGGAGGGGCGAACGTGCTCAAGAAACTGGGCCAGCTTTTCGTGAGGAGGTTTCTAAATCAAATGCTCGACCGTGTGTTCATGCCCTGTTTGGGTCCTCTAAGAGGAGGCTAAGCCGGGATCTGTGCGCATCCACCGCTCTGGGCGCCAGTCTCCCAGGACTCCAAGGGGCACTGCAGTCCTCGTGCTGCCAAAGGGAGTGCCGACCAAAGAGCGAAGGTTTTTTTTTTCAGTGCGAGCCATGGCCAGAGAGCTATTCTCATGATTTCCTGGAGTTTCTGGCATGTCTAGACTCCTCCCAAATTCTTTGGCATTGATGAAATTACGGTATGTCCAAAAAGAATGTGATGGACTTCTGGAACTTCTGGAACGCATGAATTCCCCAACCTGGACCTAAGGAACCGTTTTCAAGCCGAATCCCCTCCTGAGCCGAAAGTGGTCTTTCTTTCAGCGTCTCGACTGTGGGTCACCAAACTTCGTGCATCGAGCCCAGCGACGCGCGGCTATCCGCGATGCGCGGCTATCTTCGCGCCCTCGCGCCCCCCCACCGGAAGAAGGCCAACCGCCCTGGCCCAGACCGCGACGCGCGAAGCGCCATCATCTTCGCGCCCCCGCGGGTGACCTGGGAAGCATCGGACACGGAAACACACGGGCCCCAGGAAGGGGGCGGAGGCCGAGTGTGTGTCCACGCCCGCTGGCTACTCGATAAGGAACAAGAAACTGCCCAAACGTAAACTTTCGGCGGTCCGCGCGGATTTCTTGGATCTGCGCCGGTCTTCCCTCCCCGGCACGCGGAGCGCGCCAGGGGCGGCGCCGGAGGTGCCACTCGGAGGCTCTGACGCAGATCCAAGGTGAGCGCTTTCATTAGGCGTTTCGACATTGGGAGGGAGGGGGGGTGGAGGGGGGGGGGTCTGGCTCCAGACCTCTGCTTAGTGCGACTATTTGCAGCAGTGCGTCCATTATGGGGGAGGCTCCACCTGCTCGAAACAGGCGCAAAAACAGCCCAGATATACTCCAGGGGGGGGGAGGGTGTGTGCGAGGGTCCGCGCCGATCGGCAAAACAACGAATAAAAAACGACCACAAGAAATCCGCGCGGACCCTCGAAATTGAGGCCAGTTTCTCGCCTTCGGCTCGAGAATCCTGGGAGACCGAAACTTTGCGAGTTCATCCGCTGGAGCTCTTGGGGCTGCCGTGGCCAGCGGTCCAGGGGGAGCGCTCCGTGGCCACCTGGGCCCGTCTTGGAGCTGTCTCGGGGGGCCTCTCGGAGCACGCTGGAAGCCATCCTGGGCGATCCTGCACCATGTAACTATTGGAGGCAAGTTTGGACTCTCTGGGGCCATGCTGTGGCCCCCGTAGGCCATTCTGGACGCTCTGACATATCGCGACCCCTCGTTTTGTTCAACGCCCTCGCCCCTCCGACGGCTGTTGGCGTCGAGCATCTGCTTAGGCAACCACATGTGAACCGTACGGCTGGTTCGCGTCGCGATGTCGCGGGCGTTGGTTTCTGACGCCGCGTGGATCGTTAAACCTTGAAGTATCGCGGCTCTCCGATAGTGCAGATCGCTCGACATCGGCCGATTCTGGGCCACTGGCGGCGTTTAACTATGAACACCCGCGCTGGGGTCGCCGCCGCGTCAACGCGGCGCAAACGTAAGGCACCCCTGCAAGTCAGATTTATCAAAAAACAAGCCGGGGCTCAGAATTCGAAGGATGTCTGCGGCCAGGTGACCCCCAGCGGGGGTGTCCGATATCCCAGCGTCGATACTGTGAAAGCATGGGATAAGGAATCATTGGACAAGGAATCCTGGGTCTGAGGCGTGTGGAACGCCCATTGAGGCTTGGCCTTGGACATCACCGCCGCCCTCACCAGATAAGGAATCGTCCAAGTTCTGAAGCCTTCTGGGCACATTCCTTAGCGAACGCTCCCACCGTGTAGGGCCCGCAAATGGCCGCGGAATCACAGCCCTCGCCTCCCCGACGGCCGCCGGCGTCGAGTGCAAGGCGGGCATACATATATACCTATACGACCACCCTTCGGGTGATAAGGAGGTTCGGGGGGGGGAGGAACCAACGTCTCACTCGATCGCTCTCACTATCGATCTTACTATCGATCTCAGTATCGGTCTCGCTCGATCGATCTCCCTCGATCGATCTCACAATCGATATCATTCGATCTATCTCACAATTGATCTGACTATCGATCTCACAATCGATCTCACAATCGATCTCACAATCGATATCACATTCGGTCTCACTATCGATCTCACTATCGATATCACAACCGCTATCACAATCAACGGTATCATCATCATCATCATCATCATCATCAACAACATCAACATCAACATCATCATCACCAACATCATCATAATCGGGACACCGTCCTCATCATCAACACCAACATCATCATCATCATCACGGTCATCAACATCATCGGGACACCACCATCATCATCATCATCACCATCATCACAATCATCATCATCAACATCATCATCATCAGCAACATCGGGACACAGTCATCGTCATCATCATCATCAGCAGCATCATCATCGGGACACCATCATGATCACCATCGTTATCATCACCATCGTTATCATCATCATCATCATCATCATCATCATCGGGGCACCATCATCATCATCATCTCATCCTCATCATCGACATCATCATCAGCATCATCAACATCATTATCAGCATCATCATCGTCATCACCAGGGCACCATCATCATCATTACCAACATCAGCATCAACATCATCATCATCATCATCATCATCACTATCATCATCACCATCGGGACGCCATCATCATCAACATCATCATCATCACAATCAGAATAATGATCATCAGCGGGACGCCACAATCATCATCAACCTCATCATCATCAACATCATCATCATCATCATCATCATCATCATCATCATCGGGACACAATCATAATCAGCATCATCATCATCAACATCATCATACTCATCATCATCGGGACACCATCATCGTCATCATCATGATCATCATAATAATCATCATGATCATCATCATCCTCATCATCGGGACATCATCAGCATCATCATCATCATCATCGTCATCATCATCATCGACATCATCATCATCACCATCATCATCATCAGGACACCGTCATCATCATAACATCATCATCATCATCGTCCTCATCATCATCATCATAATCATCATCAGCATCACCATCATCATCATCGTCATCATCATCACCAGCAGCATCATCATCAGCATCACCATCATCATCATCATCATCATCATCTCATCATCATCATCATCATCATCGCTGGACACCGCGGGACACCGGCGGGACACCGCGGGGCACCGAGGGACACCGCGGGACACCGCGGGACACCGGCGGGGTACCGGCGGGACACCGCGCGCCACCGGCCGCCCGGAAGAGACACATTTGGTCTGGCCGCGCCTCAGCCACAGGGACACCGACGGGACACCAGCGGGACACCGGCGGGACACCGCGCGCCACCGGCCGCCCGGGGGAGAATCATTTGGTCCGGCCGCGCCTCAGCCACAGGAGACTTTCCTCTCGCCCGCCCACGCAGCTTCGCCTCGCCCGCACGCACGGCACGCACGAACACGAAACCGAAATCGATTTCCCGGTAGGGGGGCTCTCCGTTCCACTTCGATCTCACCCCCTCACCTCCGATATATATATATATAATATATATAAAAATATATTATATATATATATTATATATATATATATATGTATATGAATATACATAATATATATATATACATATATATACAGCTCCGCCATCCCCCCCGTGTGCCAGGAAAAGGGGACCTCAAAGACCTGCCACCTTTTTCTTCTGCGTGGTCCACCCGGCGGAACGGCGAGCTCAGACTGCGAGCGAGGAGCCGCCACACTGACGAGACTAGAAGGATGACACGAGACCGACGGTTTCGCACGGCCCTGGCTTTGAGTAAGAGAAGGGGGAAGCGAGGGAGGGAGGGAGGGAGAGCTTGAACCGGAAACCGAATTACGGCACACTCGTCAGCTGGCTATTGCTTCTACTTTGAAAAGAGGACAGCTCCGCCATCCCCCCCGTGTGCCAGGAAAAGGGGACCTCAAAGACCTGCCACCTTTTTCTTCTGTGTGGTCCACCCGGCGGAACGGCGAGCTCAGACTGCGAGCGAGGAGCCGCCACACTGACGAGACTAGAAGGATGACACGAGACCGACGGTTTCGCACGGCCCGAGCCCGAAAGGTGGGACTGGCCCCTAGGCCGAACTAACAGTAACAGGATTTAAACCACTCTATACTTTAGCCTGCAAGGGAAAATCGGCAGGCTTGACCCCCAATGCCCAGGAGTGCTTATTGAGGCTATGGTTGTTTTCAGCCACAAGGCGGAGGGTACGCGCCAACGTTCTGGAAAGCACCTTGGGATACGAGGCGGCAATGGCTGTCCTCTTACGTCCGGTGGCAGGGTCCACGCCTTCGAGTATCAGGTGAGGCTTGCCGGTGACTGAGCACAGGCCCTTCTGTCCAGTGCACCGCTGATGAATACACGAGTGGAACC